AGGGAAAGGGGAAGGGGGAGGGGGAGGGAAAAGGAAAGAAGGGAATGGAATTAAAATGAGCAAATGAAAAAATGGAAACAAATTCTAATTAAAAGAGAGAGGTGGAGGAGTTGAAGGGAGGGCAGGGGAATGGGGAAAAATATAGGAACCAAGAGAGATTATATAAAGGTACAAATTTCCAATGATGAATGTCATTATATTGTATACCTAAAATGTACCAATAAAATTTAAAAAAAATAACAACAACAACAAAAAATACAATTAGCTCTGTTAGAAGAAGATAATTTCTACTCTTCCAGACTAGGTAGAACAAAGAGTGTGGAGAAAGGCCAAATGATTTGATGCCACTATTATAATCATATGGCTTTGTCCACAGTTAATTGTCATCTATGGAGTGACCAAAGAAATGAAAAGTATTAGAATGTGCTGTTATTAGTCAAAATAAGTAAAAGTGGATGGTTAACCTATAACCTAATTTTTAATGCTATTTGTTAGAATAGGACTTCTGCTTGGAATTCCCTTAGAAAGCTAGAGTTTGAAAGGCAATCCCAAATTTGTGATTTTATAAACCTAGCAGTTTGTCCTTTTGGAGGATAAAGATTCTCTGGCTCTATCTTATGGTCTCTAACCAAGTAACTACATAAAAAGTTATTTTTAAGAAGGGGCTACCACTCTACCAGAACACAATGCATTCTGATGGCATAAGTCTTTCCAAAGGGTAATGTTTAATATGATTAAATCTTATGTATAGTAACCAGAATCCATTCAGGAGTATTTATGGAGCCTACAAACTATGGATTGCCTATCACAGATAGTGAAATGGAAGAATGGGGGGGGGGAGCTCATTAATTAGAAACTGTGCACCCATCATTCTTTTTTTTAACAGTAAGAAAAGAATATCAGTGTTTATTAATGTTCCTGTGTAAAACTTAAGTTTCTGAATTTTTAAAAGAAACACCACCAAGAAGGGATTAGCAAGTCCATCCCTTCCAGAGCCTTTGCTTCCCACCACCCTCCAAATGCATTCCGGAGGCAGGAAATGGAGGAGGCAGCTAATCAGAGTCTGTCCAACATCATGATGATCTCCCCCTGGTTGCACTGCGTGGCCACACTCATCTTGTAGGTACTGGGCCGGGGAGGGCACTGGGGGACACAGGACAACCGAGCTGGAGCAGGGTGAGGGCAGCTGGTCACCAGGCCGTGGCTGGGGGAGTCCACTCTTGGAGAGGAAATCAGCAACCGGGGCTGGGAACACCAGGGGGGATGGTGGGCTAGACAGTGTGCAGATCTTCACGTTCTTCTTGGGCGTCGCCCTCTGCCTTTCCAAAATGCTGTTTCCTAACTGTCCCAATCCACTTGCTGCTTCTCCTTCCGAGACTTCTTGCAGGGGGGGGACTAGGATCTCTCCATGTGTGAGGAGAGACACCTCCATGGAAGGATGTGGAGGTGACCATGGCTGCTCCATTCTCCACTACTTCAGTTAAGAGGATCCTCCAGCTGCTTCCAGGAAATGTCGCTTTCCTCAGAAGGGGTAGTGTCCACGGGCAAGGATTCAATCTCCAGCTCAAAGAGCTGAGATGCAGGGCTCTCTCCCTCCAGGGGAAGCTCTTCAAGCTGCTCTCCGCTGCTCTCAGCATCTATGCTCGAGTGGATCAGGGGTTCTTCCCACTCCAAAGCTTGTGACACTGTGAGTCTTGTTTTGTAGCTCGCCTGAAGCCCTGCAGATTCTTTTGACAGCTTCCTGGTTCTTTTCAGTGGAGACCTGTGCTGGCAACTTGGGGCTCTTGTCTCCATCCTTATCTGCACTCTCCTCATCTTCCTCTTCCTCATGCCCCTGACCTTTCTGTAGCTGTTCTAGATCCTCCTTGTCTTCAGAATCAGTGGCATCCTCATCCTCCTTTTCCTCTTCTTCATCACTTTCCTCAACATCGGTCTCAGCCTTGGAGGTAGTCGAGCACTCTTGAGATGCCATCCCACTGGGGCCCTCACCAGAATCCAAGGAGGCTTTGGGGGAGACTGCAGAGCAGGACAAGATGCTTTGTGAGACCCGGGCCCTTCTGTCTCTCCATCTCCTTACTTTTGTCTTGCATCACTGCATATTTGGAGATGACTTCATCCAGCCAACTCATGGCCAAACTTCCTGTAGGTGCTGGGCTAATGCAGGATCTGACAGTGCAGGATCAACACCTAGCCTACAGTCATCTGTGAGGTGGCAGCCGAAGTTGTAGATGAGATCAAAGTGGCGGTGCTCCTGTATCCTGATGCCCACAACTTGAAAGGCATCCTGGGCCGTGAGCTGGAGCTGTTGTCAGGAAAGGCTGAGACTGTGTCAAGCAGCTTCCTTCTCTAAGGCCCAAAGCACATCTCCACAGTAAGGGAAGGTATCAGGCCCTGGCTTGTTGATGAGCCCCTAACAGGTAACACCTGTTAACCTCCAGGTAGCAGGTGCCTCGGTAGGGGATGTGCTGCTTGATGACTCGCCCTGTCAATGAAGAGGACTCCTTGAGCTGACACAGACACCCAAACAAGTGGATCAGCTTCCTCTTCAATCGGGCCTCCTGCAGATATGCAGAGTCAGGGTCATCCAGTTCTGAGAAATCCAGCTCCTTCTCCTGCAGCCTCTGCAGATCTCTGCCACATAGAGCGCCAGGAGCTTCTCTAAGTGCTGAATCTGCTGCCAAGAACCATGGGTCCTTGGAGCCTCAGAGACAGCAGCTTCAGCATTTGCAGGGTCTGAGGAGGGGTTTGTGGGAGGGTTACTCCCAGATGGCTCACTGGACGCAGTGGCAGCAGGAGCTAGGTTCAGTTCTTCTTGGCCAAGGAGACCTTGAGAACAGTACAGAGCTTGTTGATGTACATGTACAGCTTAGATTGCTGGACGAGAGAGGATGTTGCAGAACTCTGCGGAGGCCGAAAACAGAGGGTGGGCATGCTGTTGCAGTTTACAGAGGAATGGAACCACCTCGGGGTGGTTTGATGTCTGCATCTTACACAGTTCAAGGAACTCTTCAAAAAGCTTCTCATTCTCCAACTTGTAGCATTTCTTGCCTCCTGAACTAGTCCTTCTTCCAGCCCCAGGAGGCCCACAGGAGCCAGGGGCTTCTGCTGGGGATGAGGCCGGATTGGGGGGTGGGGGTGGGAAGAGGGCCTTGGCTGAGCAGCTGCATCATTTCTGTCATCATCATCCAGCACAATGATGGTGTTAGCTGTGGCCATGGAGGATCAAATCCTCCAGAGGGAAGACATGTTGGTAACCTCAGAATTTCTTCTAGAAGAGGATGGGGCCTCAGAGAGAGCCCCTCCCGTACAGCCCCAACCCTTCAGCTCGGTTTCCAATCACCTTGGGTTCACAACACCTAGCCCTGCCCAACAGGACTTTCTCCCAGGACTCAGTTCTAGATGCCTTTCAAGCCCCTTAAGTATTGGGGGCAGAGAGGGCAAACCTTCCCCAAGCCCAAGTCTCCTCCCCGGCTCCACCCCTTACAGTGATTTCCGGTCTTTTTCAGTTGAGTTTCTCTCACAGCTGCCGAGTTGGTTCTTACAATCAATCCCAGCACCAGCTCCCAGGCTGCACTCCAATGTCCCCGACACCCCTGTGGGCACCACCTCGCGTGTCTGCTCCTGCTCGCCCTGACACATGGCAGACCCACACCCTGCCTGGAATGGTCACCCCAACTCGTAGACTGAGGCCAAAAAGGTTCTCGCTCAGCAACCCATTCTCCTTCCCGCTGCCCCTTGAATGATGTCCAGATTTCACCCCCTTGGGTTTCCTCAAACCGGGGCTTCAGGTTGGAAATTTTTCACCAAGTCCCTTCCCTCCCTCCCCACCCTGATTTTCCCCATTCTCTAGGACTGGTAATAGAGCCTCTGCCCACACTGTGCTCTCCTAGTTCCTCTCGGCCCCAAACCCTGGTCCGGCCAGTCAGGTATAGGAGTTTCCCTCCAAGTCCCCCACCCTGGCTCAGCTGCAGCCGCCCCACTCCCCTTCAGGGATAGAAAGCTACCATATGCTGCCCTTCACACTCAGCCTCCCAGGTCTTTCCCCAGTACTGTACCTCTCTCCCGCATACACCTGCTCCTGCCTTTGTTCCCTGCACAGTCCAGCCCCTACCTCAGAAACTCTCCCGAAGCGACCCCCACTGCGGAGATCAGAACCTAGGTTCCTTCCACCTTCCTTCCCCTTCCCACTGCAGGCCAGACTACCGGAAGCCGCCGAGTTCCCGCCTACACACACCTGAGCGCGGCCATATTGTTGTGCACCCATCATTCTTAAAACAAAACAAAAAACCAACACCACTGAAGACCAGAGTCTACTCTGCTGGTTTAGCAAAGAATCTCCACCTGGGCCGGGGATTTAGCTCAGTGGTTTCGACGCCTGCCTCGAAAGCGCAAGGTCCTGAGTTCGATCCCTGGTACCAAAAAAAAAAAAGAATCTCCACCAAAAATGGTTAACAAAGTTCATCTAAACTGAGATACAGGTAACAAACGTATGGGCAAATAAGCATTCTGAACTAGTTACTCCGGGCAAGGGTCTTAGTGGCATGCAAATTTAATAACTTTCTTTTTCTACTTCCTCCACTACTATTTTACCAGAGAAAGGTCAAATTCCCATTATATTAGTCTCTAAGCATATGTTGCCCAAACACACCTGTGGTTTTCCATGGCTATTGTGATGTAGTGGGAATGGGGAGAGAGGAGTTAGAGGTAGAATGAAGTTTTCGGAGTCCTGACCAGGTCTGTCCACAGTGTCTTGGAGAAGGAGCACCATTATTTGCCACCCACTCGAGCCCTGGCCACCTCCAGACCTCCACAGAGTGTGAGACCCAAGAGGTCCATGAAATAAGTTTCTATACACAATAGGCCCTCATGAGGGGGAGTCCATGGATCTTTGGACTTGTCCTTGAGCAGCTAAAGAGCATATGGTTTACGTTTCACTAAGCAGAGAGGGCTGGGGAAGAGGGGAATGAATGGACAGATGGGAAATAAACACAGAGAAAAAATATTTTTTAACAAAGTAATATTTTAACTGCCTAGGCAAATGGTTTTTGTGAAAATACTTATACGAAAAGCAATACATCATTTTCTTTTTACTTAGTCATTACTATCATTATGTTTTGATGAAAATGGAAATTTACAATAAAATGAAACCATATGGGATCAAGAATTATGTACAATTCTGTGATCAGATGATCTGTAATTCAGGCAATGTCTTGCTTAAAACAGTATCTTGATTTCTCATTTCAGTTGCTGCACATGCTATTTGAGGAAGCAAAGAATACACAGAAAAATAATTAAATGCACTGGGCTAAATAATCCAGACTATTACAAGAAATATAAATAACAAACATAATGTATTACAGTACAAATAAACAATGTCTTTAGTATAAAAATTGCATTTTCACGAAAAAGCTGTCTGGTAACAAACGATTACACAAAAACATGTCAAAGTTGTACAAGTAACGTATATACAATGTTACAGTCTGCATAAAACTTGGCTGAGAATACATCATCTGAAGGCCACATCCCCAGCAGAAGCTATCAATGGAACTTCTTACTTTGTTCAAAAAACTGCCCCATCAGGTTTCATCAGACTTGATGACCCCATTATTTGGCTTTTGCAAGACAAGCTGTAAGCTTCTCAAGAGGATCAAAATGTAAGACTGAGGTAAAGATACTACATAAGAAGGAACTTTTTTGTTGGCACAAAAGATTTACATGAATACTTTCCAAAATGTTGGTATTTCTGACAGGATGGTTCTACCATACATCTATAATATTGGCAAGAGAAACTCTGTAACACAGAGATGAAAGACAGACTATCTACTGATGCACACCAGCAAAACCACAAGTACCTTTCTTTCTCTCACTTCACTTCAAAGACCACATGCTGAAATCTCAGGTTTACCCTTCTCAACCTTTTTATCTCTTGAATGCTTCCCATCCTATAAAGCAATGTACTGTACCAGCTTCATACCTGTGGGACTAATAAAGTCTATGTAAGACTCCCTTTATATAGCATTTTTTAGAGCCTTTTTTTTTGGTACTGGGGATAGTACTTGGGACCTTGTGCTTGTGTGGCAGGCGGCAGCACCACTGAGCTAAATCCCTGGCCCTATATAGCATCATCTACCCCAAAGATGTTACAGGATTAGCTTTGCAGACTAACATATACTCAAATCATGTAGCAACATCAAAGCTAACAACAAGGAATTCTGGCCATAAAAAGTCAAACTGTGGCTTTCTTGACTGTAAAAAAATCAATCTAGCCACCCTTGTTTACTTTTTACTCCAGTGATTATTTTTGGCTGACAGATATTGTATTCACAAGATAAGGCTGTTAGTGCAGCTATGCAGTGCACAACCCATGAACTGAATAGGCCTGTCCTTACCCATTCAAAGGTAATACCTCCAAGGGAAAGGAAGAAGAGGAACTGTATGCGCCTTGCTGCCGTATGAGATCTCCAAGCACACTGGCTTGGCTGCAGATCTATCAAGACAGCAATAACAAAAGATACCAATAAAAAGGTAATTTCTGAATTACTTCTCGTCAATGATGTCACCCTGCTCCAACTACTCACACACATAAACCGTTGTATACTCCCATTTCACAATCATTACTTTTACTTCATTCATCCAATTTTAATTTACATAAAATACTATTCTATAATTAAATGACTGATGGTGCAATAGAAGGAAGCATGGCTGTTTATTTTTTAAAGCAAAATCATGTTTCCATGCACTTGACACCTAGATTAAATTTATTATCAACAGGAAAATCCCAATGTCCTATTGAAATGCTGAGTGAATTTTAAATTTAAATTATTTTAGGTTGCCTTTTTCATTTAGTTTTATACTCATTAAGTATTGAAAACAAACAAAAGCTTCAATTGGAAAGAAATTAAATTAGATGTATACTTAGGCCATTTGCTGGAAAATCTTTTTGCCAGAATGTTAAAGGAAAAATGGTTCCCATGGACAGATACTTAAACTTTTACTGAATCGTCTTCTCCAAGATGTTCTGTCCCCACTTTCTAACTTTGTGAAGTACTGCAAATCCGTTTTTGTTTTTGTTGTTATAGAATTAGGTATTATTTAGGAAACAACTGGAAACTGGCCTTGTGTGCATAAGCAACAAGGTAGATTATATTTCTTCACGACTTTCCTCTAGTCAAATATTCCACTAAAAAAACCTTGAGGATGGGGGCATTATATGAAAAAGCCAAACTACGAAACCTTTGTATATTCTCTAACCCTAAACTTGAACTCATTATTCTTTTAAAACTTTCAGTTGGTTGTGAGAGAAAGAATTGTAGTGATGAGAGGCAAGTGCAGCTCAGCTCTAATCTAGAAAAGCCTATATATGGCACTTGGGGTGAGGATGTAGGGGGCAGGAACATGAGGGCAGATAATGGGCACATGTCAAGGCTCTCCTAGTCCACCACAGTGCCATCTATGAGCACATTCCTGGAAGCTCCTAAGCTTCACCTTCACTGTGCTGGAGGATGAGATTGTTAACTGAGTTGGAAAGATGAAAAATAACCATAGTCTCTTAAGTTTTGATTGTCAGAATAAGAAGCTCCATTGTGCAAGCTTTGCAGCAGCTTAGCAAAGGGCAGAGAGTTTCAGAACCCTGCTCATGAACGAGCCTCATATTCGCAGGGTGTCCAGATAGAAATACATTACACGTTCCTTTTTAATGATGACAGAAACTTCTTGAATTTCATAAACCTGTACTCATTTTTCTGTCTGGACCCAAGGGGCATAGGATTGACTTCAGGCATCTTTCATATGCTTGGAATCTAACTTTATGAATTTATTCTAACATATAAATCAGGTATGAGAGAAGTAGATGGATGGATTTGTAAAAGAAATTTGGCTCCGTGGGTACTTATAGTAGATTCAATACTGAGAGATTTACAAAGATACAATTCTCTAGAAGATTAAGGAAGATGGAAATAAAATCAAATCTTTCACTTCCCAGTATTGACTTGCATTAATTTTTTCACCAAAAGCACATCACTGAAGGAAAACCAGAAATGGTTTTGCAGTTATTAAAGTGTTTCAAGAGCCAGGGAACTCCTTGAGATAAAAACAAAACAACAGAGCATTCAAGTTTTCTTCACAAGACTACCTTGTACTGGCAAAATTTAAAGCACTTCTGGCTTTAAAAAAAAAAAAGTGCTATAGAAATTTTTTGAAAGAAAAAAAAAAAAACTACCACATGTTGGCCAAAATCTTTTTTTAATCTGTTCTGTAAAATCCTTACTTCCTCCCGAATCTCCGAAGGTTACCCCATTTCATTCGAGATGCTTGGCAGTCAGCTTCATGGACTTTGGTTACTTACAGATTATCTAAACCTTTAAGCTGGAATAAACGTGGTGGCTGTTGACCCAGTTGCTGTCTGAGTCCTCTCACTAAGGAATAATTGTGAAGAATGTGAGACTTTGGAGGCTATAGTAAAGAACTTGGAGAAATACAGGTAAGAAATAAAACATAACAAAGGAGATTTCAAGGGCTTGGGTGACTTCCAAGCTCTTTCCTAAAATTATATCCAGGGCCCTCACAGTTAAAGTGGTGTCCACGCACAGTGGTGCCTGATGTTTGTACACTTTGACAAAAACAAATACCTACGACACAGAAAGGAAGCACTCTGCTGCACTTCGAAGATGCTCAGAGTGAAGGCTGCTTTGCTTTCATTTGGGGGCCCCGCAGCCTTGTCTCTAGAAAGCGCTAATGAGGGAAGGGGTTGCCTCTTCTGGTTAAGACTCTCTAGCCAAGTAAATTAACTTGCTCCTTTCCCAAGTCCCCAGACAGATCCTAACACCACTGGTTTTCTGTCTCCTGATTGTCATGTCTGAAAGATTGTCCTTAGACAGAATACATGAAGCTTACTGCCATGCAACCATATGACCACTGGCCATCTTTTAAGAGAGAAGCTTGCTCATTCAGGGAAAAGTTAAGGATTTGGTTTAAACTGCAGACCAGAGGGAAGTGTCATAAAATCTACAGTCCCTTATTGGCATGCTGACTCTTGCGCTGTCTCAGTGAGTCTTCTGCTACCTCTGTGTCAGCTGAGGAGGGTTTTCCAGTGGTGTCTCCTTTAGTCTCCTCAGATTCAACTTCCTCCTGGGCCACACTGGCCTCTGTCAGAAGCCCCTGGTTGTTGGGATCACTCCTCTCCTCATCCACACCACCAGCCACATTGTCCATCTCCTCTTCCTCCTCTGCTTCATCCTCATCACCAAGGTCTTCTTTCTCCTCTTCATCATCTAAAAGGCTGTCCTTATTTTCTTCTTCATTGGAATCATCTTTTTCCTCTTCTGCATCCTGTAAATGTTCAGCTCCCTGAGCCTCCTCTGATCTCTGATTTTGCTCTACAGAGAGAATAGAAACACTCTCTGATTAAACAATGGGAATTCAGTACTGAATTGTGTTCAGCTGTGCAGTGAAAAAAATAAGGCAAGTGACAGTTTTCTCCACCTAGAAGCCCTGGTACGACACAGAACAAAGTCTCTAGTTGGTACCCAAACCCCATTCAGGGCTTCTCCAAACCTCTCTGGGGACCTCACTACCCATGCTGACTTTGGTAGAGCATGTGTGCATGGAGGGCAAAAGTTCCTTCCTGCTCTGCGTTTTGTACCTTATAGAAGGGTCAAAGACCCATTGGTTATAGTGACTGGCACAGAAAAGTGATGAGAGCTGAGCTAATCAAGAATACTTTCCAGGGGATTGGGGCCTCAGGAAGACTCCTCCTTCTTTAGGATTTGTTAAACTAAGAAGTAAGTTAGGACTGGTAGCAGCCTCTGAGTGAGCCTCATGGTAACAGAAACCTAATAATCACTTGGGCTGCACTTGAAGCTGGAATACCCTGGAGTTTTGATTTTGACCTAATAAATCTCATTTTTTACTCTCAGATTTTTTTATATTAGGTTTCTGTAACATTTTAGAATTCTAAGGATCATATATCTATGGAAATCTCAATAATTTCAAAAACTAAAAATAAATATGAGTTTAAAAAAATAAAACCCCCAAACTGCATTGTACAAAGTCTCAAAAATAGGAATAAAGGTATTCAAATCCAGGGCTAATAAGTCCCAGGTCAGGATGAAGCAGAGCAAGGATGTGGAGAGACTGCTCTTAAAGGACTTAGGGGAGATCATGACACACAATAGAGAGTCAATAAATGTGAGTTTCCCTCCTCCCTTCTTGTTCAATTTGAGGAAAAGCCACCCATTGGTTAATAAAGGGTATAAACTGAAAGGAACAAAAATAATGACCAATAAGAAATATACTTTAAAACAGAAGAAAAAAAAAGAATTCTTGTCCTAATCTACCTGAAGAACATATTTTAAGGAATCTGATAGTGGCAACAGTTTGGTCACATAGTAAATCAGGGACAAAATTCAGTATCTCTAAAAGCACAACAGGGAATTCCACATCAGAGAACACCACAAAATTCCAAAACTACTGTGCCACATGAGCTTATTATACTTACCAGAATGTTCAGATAAATTCCTTGGAAGTGGTACATAGAAGCATTCTGATATTACCACCAAGACCTGGAGGGAAGAAAAGTGACTGTTACAGTTATTACCAAAGGGCCTTGAAATCAGGCCTTGCTTCTATAATTAGATATTCTTGGACAAATAATTAGCAGCTGGTCAAAAGTCTTCAAAATGGCATGATTATAATTAAGAGTTTCCTATTTTTAAATGTTAACATAATACAGGAAAATATCATTAATGCAGAACAAGGGCCACAGAATCAATAGAGAGTCCACTATAAATAAATGAATCGAGCAGGTATAACAGACATGACAATCAAATCTAAAATTGTCTCTTTAAAAACACTATTTTAAACAAAACTATATTTGAACTGCCCCACATCAACAGGTAACCCTCAAGTAAGGGGAAGAACAAGTCAGGATCTGGAAGCCTTAAGAAAGTACCATGAGAAATTTCCAACTAATTGTGGGAAAACTCCTCAATGAGAGCACCTAAATCCTGGGCTTCACCTCCAAATGTTATTGAACATGAATCCCTTTGTACTATAAAAACAAGTCTTTATCAAGCTTCTTAAGGCAGGATCAGTCCAGTCCATGTTCCCTGTCAGGGACCAGCCAGCACCGTATTGAGCAAACTGAAGTCTTTGTCCCAACAAAGCAGAGTCACTTGGAGCTATGCTCTCCATCTGGGATTGGGCACCACACAAGACAGCCATCAAACAATGGAAGAAGCTGCATGTTTAGAAAGTGATATATTTCTTTTTGTACCACCTGGCATGGTGGTATACCCTTATAATCCCAGCATTTGAGAGGCTGAGGCTGGAGGACTGCCTCAGCTCGAGATCAGCCTGAACTACATAGAGGGACCCTGTCTTAAAACAAACAAACAAAATTTCTGGTACCTAGCAAACACTTGACCTATGACTTCTCTTTGAGTAAGTGCCCCATCTGTAAATATAAAAATACTACTAAATATACTACGTTTTATAGGTACTCTGAAATTTTAAGTCAACATCATAATTGCTTTGATTAAATTATAAACATCAAATGAATGTCCTACTTTGTATTCAGGAACTATGTATATATTCACTTATTACTTTACTTATTATTTGGTTCATTAGATTCAAGCTATCATGTTAACATCTGAGAGGGAGGTATTGAAAGAAAAAAAAGCTAGTTTAATTATAAAGCAACACAGGACAAGGGTCTCACACAAACAATGAATAAAGCATTTTGATGCTTGAGAGATTAAGAGATTACATCCCACTATGGGGTGACAAAGGATCAAGAATTCCCCTGAAGGAGGAGGAGGCAGTAAAGCTTTGCCCTTGTCAGGAGAAATTATGCAAAACCCCACTGCCTGCCTACTCTTAAGCTGCCCCAGGTGGGATCTCCAAGGTTCTGGTATCCAGAGAATGCCCTAAAGGTCAGGTTGAGGATATTCACAGGTGAGAGGATGGGATGTTGTTCCATATGTTAAGGAACAACAAGCTCCAAGCTATTTGCTGTGGCTTATATCTAGATGCCCCTTCAAAGCCTCATAGGTGTGGCATTTGGGAGGTGATTTGATCATGGGTGTATTATACTGGATTAAGAGTTTGTGATATCTAGATTAGTCCACTGATTGGTTTAGAACAGTTCTAGGTATACATGATGGAAAGGCCCATCCTGGGTGTGGGAGACACCAACCAATAGGCTTATAGACTGGATGGACTAAAAGGGAAAGTAGAAGGAAGGCTGGCTGTCTTCTGCCTGGCCTGATGTGGACCATTTCTCCTCTGCCATGCCACCCTGTGTTGGGGCCAGCTGACTATGGATTGAAACCTCTACAAACTGTGAGCCAAAATAAACCTTTCCTCACCTCACTTGTGGGTGCTGGATATTTTTTCCCAGTAATAAGAAAAGTAAATAAGACACCATTAAATTGATTTGAGCAGCAAAGAAAACATTTCTAATGAGACAAGGAAGTATTTACAAGCTAGCTATTCATAGGGCATAATGTATGTGTGTGTTTTTGTTTTTGTTTTTGATTTGTTCCCTTTGTCTTGTTCTAATTTCACCAGGGGAGGGATGAGACTTTAGTTTGCTCAATATGGTGCCAGCTGGTCCTTGATAGAGAACATGGACTGGACTGATCCTGTCCTTAAGAAGCTTGATAAAGACAATTTTTATAGTAGAAAGGGATTCATGTTCAATGAAGTTTTGGTCCTGACACATTACAAGGGTAGAAGAAACACCTTCCACCAACAAGAAGTACAGCATTTTCCCACAAAGGCTAGGAGCGAATAAGTTGCACCCATGATATACACGGGCTCTCAAGAGGCTGGCTGGGTTCTTAGGCCCAAAAGGGATTCACAGGACACCTGCGTCACCCTTGTCTTGCATTAGCAGCATGACTTCAGACAAGTCAACTGCTTTCCAGCTTGCAGCATCACTCAAAACGATGAGACTGGACCAGACTATGGCTATAGTTTTTTTATGTCTAATGGTGCACTGTTCTGTATATGTCTTTCTTCTTGGAAACTGGGAGGGAAACCCTCTCATCTTTTCATTAGATTCTCTCAGTTCAAGATCTATTTTCTGATCTAAAGAACCACTCCCTTTGAATGGGGAACTAAGCTACCTCAACATGGCACTGTTTAGAATCAGAGTCTACAGGGGAATGGTGTCTTCCTATTATAACCTTTTCAGGTTTCACTTTCTACCCACATAGGTGGACAAGGAGAGCAGATGGAGTTTCAAGGAAGGTGGCATCCATACTTCTAATTCTAGAGGAGATAGGAACTGGCCAGTAGTATCTAGAAAAAGAATATACTCAAGTACCAAAATGTAGACAGTGCCTCTACACATATCAACAAAACAGAAACCAGATAACAGAGGCATAAGCAAGCCTGGGCTCTCCTTTTCCTGTGACTGAGCAATTTGAGCTGAAAAGTCATTAGACCTAAGCCACTGGATCACTGTCTGCGTTCTCCAGGGCTCTTCTGGTTGTCTGGAACTTTCCTGCCTTCCAGCTCCAGGGCACAGTCACTGATGGGAGACAGTGAAGCTGCCTGGGTGATCTTTAGATTGTCACTAAGGATCTCTCTCATGTTGGCTGAAAATGTAAAATACATACTTGATTCTAAAACCGAGCACTTTGTTTTAACAAAATTAGTAAAAATGTTTCAACAATACTAGGCTCAGTCAAGAAAACAAACAAAAATTAAAGTAGATTTGTTTTAGTTTCCCATCTTTCAAAATTTAGGAAAAGAAAGAATAGACACTTAGTCAAGCTTATGCAAAACAATGAAAGAACTTTAACAAGAATACATCTTAAGGGAAACATTCTGCCCTTCTGGCCACTATGTAAGTTAAACTCCATGAAGACTTAGAGGGGGAAGGAAAATCTCAAAAGTCACCAGGACCAACCTCCACATATTTACAAAACTGGGCTTGGCTTTGAGTCCCAGTTGATGGTAAAGGTGTCACAGACCACCAAACCCCACACCTGAAGCTCTCACCTCTAATTCCAACTCTGCGACACAGAATGGCAAGTAATTATGAAACATCTGTTGTCTGCAGGGTCTCTCCTAAGGGGAATCAAACTGAGTATCCCAAAGGTGCTTTCTTTCAAATACTAGGCCAATTTCTACTCTTCTATTTTGGGAAATCACATGCTCAGCAATTTCATCTCACATTTATTCTATGTGAACTACTTATTTAATTTTGACTCAGTTGGCGAGACTACAAAAATTTTTAAAAAAAGGAAAAGAAAACTCCTTGATCTTAGCTTCCCTACAGATGTGTCATCCCTCAGGGAGTCTGGGCAGGACATGGGCCAGCCACTCCTGTGAGCCATTCAGGGCCTGCCCCATGCAGCTTTGTCCATTGAAGTCCTTTTCTCTAGGGAACTACCCCAACATCATTCTCTGGGTGGCTAAGATGTTAAAATAATTCATAAACACTTCTTCTATAATCACTGAAGTTAATGAAAATGCCATTCTGGAATAGATGGTTTAAAAGGAGGTGAATACTGTGCTGTTTCTAACTATAATATATAACTAATTCACAAAAGTAAGCGTATAAAAGTACATAAGAAACTAAAGACTCCTTAAGGTAAAAAGTGTACATACTTTACAATTGTAGGAAAGGCATTTTGAACAGAGATATGTATTTATTATTTTTGGAAATATATTAATAGATTATTTTGTAAAATAAAGTTATTTTCCCAATTTCTTATAAAGGAATGATAGTGCACCCCACTTAATCACTTGGACAGTCTGGAATCAACTCTCTTCTTTCTTTAGGCAGTTTTTACTCATTTTTCAATAGGTTCCCCTTCAACCTATATAACCTGTTTCTATCTCTGACTCACCAAGCATCTAATACATTCCCCCTGAAAAAGCCTCACAAGCATATGGCCCCAAAACACACTGTTAGAAAAATCTAGTGCTAAACAATGGATGGGAGAAGCACTGATGATTATACTCTATTTATAGCCAAAGTCAAATCAAATCCCTTTAAATCAGGGCAGTGGGAACTATGTTAATTAGGAATATGATTAGTACAGTAGAACAGGACACACCTGGGATCTAATTAACATTGGCAGCTAAGTTTCATCTCCATCCCTGAAATTAACATCAGCAGCCATATCTCAAACACAAGCCATGACAAGAAGAAAGCATCATCATAGAAAAAGAAAATCAAACTTCCTTGGCTTCTTAGAGTTCTTTGTCATATCAAGTTATGACTTCCTATCAAGTCACCTGCTAACATTTTAAGCTTCTTTTTACAAAGTACTTGCTAGAGAACTAAATTTCATTACAAGATGTAGATAATTTTACCTAAAAGTTTATTCTTTTAGATAAATTTTTGTAATCATTAATTATTCCCAGTGCAGAGTGTTTAGGAGTTATGTAATTAATTATTATACAACATAAAGGCTTTTAACAATTGCTTAATTAGAGTTTAACATCCCACAGTTTTGGGACTACAGTGTGCACTACTATACCCAGCTACCAACCAAACCAGTTATAGTTGCCTACATCACTAAGTAAATAAAAGTATTATTTCAATTCTCATCTGAAACACCTAGGGATAAAATGCACAGATACCTACTAGATCCTGATTTTCATGCTCAAAAAAAGATATGGTGAATTGCTTTGAATCTAATATTTTTCCACAGTGATAACTGTCTTCTTTTATCTACATTATCTTACAAAATCCACCTCAGGAAAACCAGTTAGCTGGTCAGGATTAGAGGTTCAACTGATGGATGGAAACAAGAAAAAAATAATCTTTCATCTACCCAAGGAACAAATTCACAGCTGCAGCCTTATCACCACTGTGTTCTAATCAAGCAGGCAATGTGTGGACTTGCAGCTGACTGCGTTGTCTTGGAAACTGACTATCAACTTAAACAGGCTCTCTATTTCTTCTTCCACTACTGCATATATTCTGGGAAACACACATCTTTGAGAATATTTAAGAAACAGGATTAAAGGACAATAAATCAATTTTCCATTTTATTTCACACTACCACTACCACTTTTCAAACAGGCACATGCTATATAAATGCTTAGATTACACATAGAGAATGTTTAAGCATTTTTTTTCTTTCTTGGTTGCATTTCAATTTAATGTGAAATCCACTTTACTTAAAAAAAGACATTAAAAAGAAGAAAAAAGATCAATATTATTTCTTACCAGACCCATGAAAAGGCCAAAAACCAAAGTGGCAACGATGAAAAAGACATAAGAACACCAAGCAGGAATTCCAAGGGTCACTGTGAAATAATTGTGAAGATGCTGCAATCAAAAGGGAAAGAATAAAATATTACTGTAATAAGGACCAAAGATATTTGAATCCCTTTTGTTAGCTGTAACTTCAGTCTGCCAACTGTTCCTTCTACGTAAGTTCCCACAAACGTTTACCCAAATGACTCTTAACAAACAATACAAATTTTACAGCACTGGAAAACAATAAGACATAGTCAAAGTCATATCTAATATGAGTTAAACTTCTTAAGAGTTTGGGATCTGAATAGAAGTCTGGTGAAACTGTTTTGCTAGTCCTTTCTTCCATCATAATTTTTTTTGGTTCCCCTCAACTAATAATTATGTACCCTTCAATGTGTAATCATATGGCATCCATTAAAAATGAAACAGCTTAGGCCTTTATCAATTTTTAGATAAGGCTATATGACTACTTAGTGAATACTACCATTTCAAATGTCTCCGTATTTTTTGTAGTCAAGTTCTTACTACTCTACTCCTACCCACCCCAAACATAACATGTAGTATTAGACAGGTTTTCCTGGTTACTTCATTATAAACAAGTTAAATTTCATTTGTCTTCAAGTACACTGTACATCCTTTCATGCTTACTATTCTCTGGACCTCTATTTGATGACAAACATAAAAATAAATGAAGAGACACAATCTTAGTTTGGAATTGTTTACATTCTAAGTCACATAGAAATTATAGAGATGAACCTGCTCATTAATGTCAAAGCTCATTTACATGGGGACTTGCTGGGGACATGCTTCCCCATAATGATTTAGTCGTCTGTTTTGACCTTTATAGCTTGTAAAATGGTCATTAACTATAATTCAAGCAAGTACTGGACACAAGATTAATTAGCTCCAAGTTTAGGTATCACCTGAAAGCACAGATGAATTTGATGACAGTGAGTCCAGTTTCATACTCCTCAAAATTTAAACCACTTCCACTGGCTTCTTACCTTATGTCAAGCAATAAAATATTTTATTCTGGTTTAATTCTAAATGACAGACAAGCAAAAGAAAAGTTTATTAAGTGATCTAGAATAATCTGCTAAGATTTAAAGATTCAATAAGTATTTTAAATAATAACACATCTTATAAAAAGTATTCAATCAACATTTGTTGAGCAAGGAAAAGATAGAGCAAATGCTTAACCATTCACAGGAAATACAAATAAGCTCTTGATTTGTAAAGCCATCATCTCCTCTGTTGACAGCATTGGTCACCAGCTTATGTCCAGCCAAGACAAGTGTTTATTAAGAACAGCCCAGGGGTAACCCACTTTCAGGTCCCCCTTCTGTCTCTCTTAGGCAGAAGCTTTCTTTCTCCCAATAAATTTTTCCTACTCTAAAAAAGAAAAAAAAAACAGCCTGGCATTCTGCAACCCAGAAGGCAAAAGAGGTATCTGAGATATCTAAAAAGTAGGTTGAAGTTCTTTTCAATACAATTCTAAGAATTTTACAGTTACCGATTTTAGAAAATATTATGTACTGAATACTTTATACTTTTCTTGATGACTCAGTGCCTTCATCAGGATAAACCCTGAAAACTGCCAAAGAATCAGAAGATCTTGACAGCCACTCTGTCTCACTGCTGACTCATGCATGTATTCTGGTACCTGCTTTATGAATACCTTCTGATTTATTTTTCTCATGTTGTTGGAATGAATAAAATGAAGTTTTAGGATAAAAATTGTGCAGTTTGGAGTCCCTCTGGACACTGTCTTACTCCTTTACTGAAGAATAATGAAAGCAATCCTCAAGAAACTAATTTGATTTTTAAAAATCAGTAAATTATTTGCCTTTTAATTACTGTATTTTGAGTTAACTCTTCTTAGTATTTTCAAAACATCCTCGTATTTTAATAAGCCCGACTTTAGTTTTTTTCTATCAAATTACTCCTAAAAGGGCTGCTTCTTATGAAACTCTGCCATCTTGTGGTCTTTTAGGTAATTATTATTAAAGATGTTTTCACAACACAGACATAAATCTTTTATCTATTTACTTTGAACTCACAAGGGGTGAGTTCAATTAGAGAGCCCCTTACAATTGTTAGGACTTGTGATGTTATATACTTAAAATTCTGCTGTACATATGTTTCCAAGGTGATAACTGATTAATCTTATCTAATTCAATTTAAGATTTGTATGTTTGATTTTTAACTATATTTCCTTAGTGTCAGTTTTCACTTGTGCAAAATACTGACTCCTGCTCAAAATTACATATGCTAATTACAAGGAAGTGCTCTACTTTGTTTACTGAAAATGCACTAGCCCAGCACCAAAGAACAGAACTGCCCCCAGCACAGAGGAGGTGAATATTCCAGGCTGCCATACCACCACCCAGAGCATAGAGGTTTGCCGCGTGGGCACCAGCAGCACATATCCCTCCCACTGGCCCCAGGTGAAATGAAAAGACATGTAAACAAGTCTGGAAACCAGACTTCCAGATCACCTAAAGGGAAACGAGATGGAAAAAATCTGATACTCAACCACCTGGACTCCCTGAACTGGAAACAAAAGAGGATTTGGAAAAAATGAAATCAGAAATAATTTCTCAAATAACTGCAGAGATTGTCCCCATAGTCCAAGACATGATTAATAAATCTAGAGAGGACAGGGATTAAAAAAATAGAGGAGCTGAGGAACATGATAGAATTCATAAAACAGGTGCAAACAGATTTCCAGGAGATTAAAAACTCCATTGAAAGTTTACATAGCAGAATGAGCCAATGTGAGGACAGAATTTCAGAAATAGAAGATGAGATTGGAATTGGAGAGCAGGAAAAGAAAAATTTCTTTAAAATAGTAAGGGACCATGAGGAATCAATCCAGCAGCTGCTAGACGACGCAAAGAAGAACAACATAAGACTGATCAGAGTCAATGAAGAAACAGGAAAAAGGGTGGACGACACAAAAAAACTGTTCACAGAAGTGATGGCAAAAAACTTTGCAAGCAAGGGAAAAGAACTTGACATAGAGATAAGAGAGGCATATAGAACTCCAACTAGCCTTGATCAAAAAAAACTACACATAGGCATATAATTGTTAAGATTCCAGAAACCCAACAGAAGAATAAAATTCTACAAGCAGTTAAAAGAAACAAATCACATACAAAGGAAAGCCCATCAGAATCACAGCAGACTTCTCAACACAAACCCTCAAGGCAAGAAGAGCTTGGAGTGAAGTA